TCAAGCCACAAAAATAAAAATCTTATTTCAGTTTCACTGTCCATTTAACTAAAATTGAAATTGGCTCTTTTCTTGACAGGAAACATCTTATATTCAAAATAGAGGTCTTTTCTGGAAAGTGGAGGACATTTACTTAATGCTTCCACTAACATATATTTGCTGGGGCAAAACAATTAAGTGTTTGATTGTGCTTTTCTGTTTTCTTTTGCATTTGCGGGTACTGTGTTGCTCCTAAGCGACGGCTTAAACTCAAATGTAGTTTGGATTACTTCACTTTTATAGTTGGATATACTCTTGTCTATAACCAGTCAAATTATGAAATTTGAAATAATAAAAAAAATATATATATATATAAATTCCACCATTGATGATGAAAAAGTATTTGCCCCCTTTGCAGATATCTGTTGTTTTATCTTCTTTGTCACCCATTGTTTTGCAGGCAACGCAAATCTGAGTGACAAATACAAAATGATGCTCAAGTTGTGAAGCAGTGAAACGTCCCCAGATAATTGCAGCTCCCCCACTATGTTTGACTGCCATTGCTCAGTGACTCCCTGCAGTTTGCTGGAGTCACAGAGGCTCGGAAGTGGCTTAGTAACTATTTTCACACTGATGGATGTCAGAGGCTTTGTTTTTCATTTGTTCTCAATTTTTTTTTTTCAGCATGCTGTGTTGCTTTTCACAGTGTTTTAAGTGACTTTGCGTTGTTCAACAGGTTCTATATAAGCGATTCCTTGTTTCTGTAGGTCTGGCAGTAATCAGGCCTGTGTCTGGCCATTGAAATTGCTAAAAAAAAAAAAAAAAAAGTGGTTAATTACAGCTTAATGACTTACCAAGAAAAAGGATGATTCTTTTTTTTTCTTTTATAGGCCAGGTTGTTTTGAATTGCTTTGTTATCTTTGCCTGACGGTAAAATGTGTTTGTTGATCTGAAACAATAAAGAATCTGATCAAAATCAAAAACTGAAGATCTGCGAGAAGGAAATACTTTTTCACATCACTTCAAGTTTAGTTCAAATTCTTCAGCTTCTCCAAGTTTGACCTTCTGCAGTAATTTTAAGACGTGCTTATACAGGCCTCAGATTGATTGCAATGTTCTTCTAACTTGTGACCTGCTGCGTAGACGAAAGTTCAAGAGATTGAGTCACTGCATTTATGGCCAATAAGCGATATGCTTTAAAAATAAGATGCTAATTGGTTTTTGCTGCTAAATACTTATAATCCTGTTCTACTGTCAGTTTTTACCCCGACAATATAGAAATCTTGATTTGGATTTCGATTAGCAGACACTAAAATAAACATACACATGTTTTTATTCACACAACAACCAGCTTAATGATTTAAACCATAGCATTTGATTGTTCTGCAGCGTGCTGCTTGTTTTTTTTTTTAATGAAGATAAAATGGCAACATCTGCGAACACCTGACAAGTAAGATGTGGAGGACACGCTCCAGAAAAGTCATTAATATAGATTTTTTACAGTTTGAATAATACTAATAATAATAATAATAATAAAATACAAGAGAGATGCTTGTGCACATACTGCTCATCTGAAGCTTCACAGGGAGCCGGGAGTCACATGTAGAGATGAATTGACTATCTGGGGGGAGAAACGGCAAGAATAGGGATTTGCTGTGTCTTGTGAAGCACCTTCATTCATGCGTAGCTCCAGTGACCCAATAAATCATGGCCCTCAGGCTTTTGCATCTCATCTGCATCCATCCTGGGCGTCCACGGTGTGTGAGAATGTGCAGATCAATTGTGAAAGCGCTCCCTAAAGGGAAGTACGCCACTGTGCTGTTGCAGGTCTTGGTTTCTCTGCTCCTTTTGCCGGGTATCTTCCCTGCCAGCTGTCTGCCGAGTAGAAAAATGAAGTGAGGCCAAAATCCTTACTGTCAGACGAAAATAAAATAAAGTTGCTTTCCTGGTATTGCAGTGAGTAAGAAGAGATGTCATCTCACCTTACGGTTCATTTCACAAACTGTGCTCGCTGCTGAGGTGCTGAGCTTCAGGTCTTACAGGAGACCTCTCTGAGGGAAACGACTGTCCAAAGTCTTGTCTCTCTGCTTCTCACTGGCACTCTACTTTAAAATATCTTTTTGTCCATACCTTCTTTCCCCCCCCTCCCCTCTTTTCACTGAGTTGATGGTGCATGCCTTTTTAGTTTTCCTTGAAGGAGAAGCTCTGTTCAAAGAATATAAAAAGTACAAGTTTCGTGTTGCCGTTGATCTTACCCACATCACTGGCAAATTTTTTCAGGATGTTATTTTCCATTTTTATGGTTTTCTGCATGGAATTACATTTTTTTAAAAAATTTTTCTGATATGAAAGGGAACTGTATCTCATAAGGTTTTTCCCTGCCATCCCTGCATCAGTTCCAGCTCATCTCTGTGAACCACCATCTATACAGAATAAACTGACTCAGATCTTAGCTGTAATGTGCTTTACTTTTGAAATGTATTACAGAGATAGTCTTTGCTGTTGCTTTTCTAACTTGATGTTGTAAACATGGGTGTTATGCAGGGAAAGTAGTTGGTCTTAGTAAAGCTCTTGGATGTTTTCATTCAGGGGGAGGGACAGAAGGGCAGAGAGCTTTGTTGAGAGTATGAGGGTTTGACAGATGGCCTGCTCTGTTTACTCCTTTATGTTTCAGTCAGTTATGATCTTGTTTATTCGGTTGCCCATGGACACAGATGACATATTTGTATCACTTTTGGAATCGGGCATATCTTATCAAAGCACATAAAAATAAGGGAATAAAGGTGAAGTTGTAACTTAGGAGTAGTCTGAAACAGTTTGGAGTTGTTTTTTTTTCAGAACCATTGGATACTGAAAGAAGTCAACTTGCTTTGTTAAAATTCAGTTTTATAAACATTATTGTTAATACTCTGCCTTTGGAAATTTGAAGAGTATTGTTTTTTTTTAGTATGAAATTCTTATGGTACTTTAACTTCAGATGAAAATACCATAGTTTCATAGTGTTGAAATATTTACACAAACCTTTGAAGCTGCTTTAATTTTATAACGGGAACACAACGATCACTCCCATCTTTTCTAAAACGTTCTATCTGGTTGACTCTTATCTATATCAATTTGTTTGCTTTGATGCAGGGACTTGAGCAAAAAATATAGAATGAAAATGGCAGTAGCTGAAGTGGTTATTGCACAGAATAATATCCAGAACTGCACATAGGCTAGACGACTGCTTTTCTGTTCTAGGTCAGTGATTATCACTTAAGTAAAACTACATTGTGACTCAGAACGAAGCTCCTGTGTGAATATTTGAAAAAAAGGTTCAAGTATAAACTACAAGCACTAAACAAAAGCACCAGCACTATAATATTTACTTCAGTATTATTATTATTTTTGTGGGCGGAAGTAGCGACGACCCTGATAAGTGAGTGTTTACCGCAGCAATGTGTGCAACACTGCTCTGCCGCTCTGGATCTGAATGAAACTTGAAAGGTTCTGGGGCCACTGATGGTTATGAAAGGCCCCCAATCTTCCCATTAAACGCAGACCTAGTCACTAACCTCTCGTCACAGGCGAAGAGGCTTTAGTAACCCAGACTATCCATGTTGACCTGATTTGGTTTGTGTAAGTGTGTGTTTTTGTGTTTATACCCCATGAGTGTGTGCATGAAACAGATTAGGACGGTGGGTGAGTGGGTCTCTCTGACTGCCGACACGTGTGTCTCTCAGTGAAGATGTAGGGCACTGGGAGTTATCTTTTTTTTTTTTTTTTTTCCCAGAGTGAGAGACCCACATTGCTCTGCACATCCGTCCCCCATCGTTTAAAAAATCTGATTGAGTCATGTTTTCAGCAACTTAAGTTTTTTTTTCCAAGAGATTTACTCCGAAAGGATTAACTGCTTGCCTCTGTGTGGACATCCACCAACAATGGGTTATTTTTCTGGTGTAGGCAAACAGCTCTTAGTGCACAGTTTACAGTCGCTGCTTTGCCCAGTCATGCAGATGGTTTACTTTCTGCTAACCAAAGCAGCCATCTGGAGATGAGCAACTTTTTTTAATTCACAATATTCCAGGACTGGCCAGATGGATGGAACATGCAGGTGCACAGTGAACACATGTACACTTGTCACATGGTTGACTGGAAATGAACGAGTCTAAATGAGTTTGAGGAAACAGCCTTGTGTTTTCCCTTGGTTGGCTTCACATAATGCAGATCCTCCATTTGCTATTCACCGCATACTGGCCGTCGTCCCAGCATCCCCTTGTCTCTCAGGGACGCTGTATCTGTTTCCCCCAATTTGTTACTTAGCCAGGTCTTATAGCTGCAAAACCTGGGCCCAACTACAGGTTGCATCAGTCTGAAATAATAAAATTCATGATAATAATAATAATATTAATAATAATCATCATCATCATCCTAATGAAAAGGAAAACTAATTCATTTCTATTCCTTTCCTGCATTAACTGGAGTACCAAGTCATTTGTCAACTCGGCAGTAATCAGATGAGACACTTTTTTTTTGCCCATCTGCTTTGATGTTGATTTGTATTCATAATGCTGTTTATGGTGACAATAGATTTACTTATTTATCGACAGAAGAGACAAGAGAAAAGTAAAAGATTAATAGAATTTTTTTGTTTTTTCATGTTTTTTTGTTGTTGAAGATAATGAAATGAGAACGGATTCAAATCTAAAAACAATCTGCTCATATATTCAAAATGTATTTTTCTTTACCAGTTATGATATTCCAATGCATATTTTGTTATTTACATGTTCAGTGTTTTTTGGGCTGTAATGTTCTCTTCCATTGTAAAAATAGCTAAAAATGTGACCAACACTGAATCTGATGATGAAATGCTCTCTGCGTCTGGCTCTCAATGTCTGATTGGACAATAAACAGAGTTTCTGTACTAATACTGATGTTGGGTTGAAATGGTTTGATTTCTTCTAGAAGAAAAAAAACAAGAAACTATGAAACTGCGCATCAGTATGCTGTGTCACTCAATTATTTTTCTGCTCTCTTCACAGGTATGCATATTCATAAATTCTTAAGTGCCTTCTTCAAGATCTAATGGAAGAAAAATCATTAACTGGGCCTGCCATGGTGTCCAGATTGCCAAAGTTTGGTGGGCGCCCCACAGGCGGTGGGAATAGTCCTGTGTGCAATGGTTCCACACAGTCACCTACATCTGTGCAGGATGGCAAGACCAATTCTCATGGAACACGCTCAAATGGTCTGATCCGGCCCGCTCCACCGTACATGAAATGGAAGAAAGACGATGGTATGAACTCTGTTAGCCCCAGCACACTTATGATTCCATGGGATGGAAATGAAGAGAAGGCACACCACCATGTGCCCTCATTACCTGAGGTGAAAAGTAGCTCTCAATCAACACCTAAGATGCGTAGGTCAGGTACTTTGATGGTGGCTACCTCCAGCCCAAAAACTGTTCCCAAGCAACTGACAAAGATAAACCCCAAAGTGACAAAAGTTGGTCAAAGCCAACTGAATGGGCTTTCTAAAGTAACCTATAGTACTTCTGGCATTCCTGCTCGAACTGGGTCGGAGTCGCGCCTTGTGCGGCCAATGTTGGGCACCAGCTCCCCAAGAAGCAATTCTCAGGATAGCCTATCACAATCCAGAGAGAACCGAAAGATTTTGACGTTGGACCACATGGTGCGTTCAAACAGCTTCACTCACTTCAAGCAGATTCCCTCCCCCAACTGTGAGCCGATGACACGATCCTTCTCCTTTAATCGGGCTGTGGAGTTAGCCAAACCCCTGGCCAACACTCAACTTCGGCCTCCTCGCAGCAGTTTCCTCAAGCCACCACGGATCAGCAACGGAAGACTGTGTTTAGGACTAACCAGTAACCTTGGAGATTCAGGTTTTCAGTACAGCAAAAGCCTTCCAACTGACTCCTCGTTGCCCAACCCATCTTATCCTGCCTTGCCCACCACACCGCAAGGTTTGAGGAAACCTCAGCTTCCTAATTCTGCTCTGACAAAGTCACTGACAAACAGTGTGGGATCTTCAGGTTACAGATCGGGTTCAACCACACTGACATCTCCGTTTCCAGATCAGCCCAAAGAGGGTGTTAGATCTTCTGTCTTATCTGACTCTGGTGGACTTCTGAGGATATCTAAAGGATTTGAGCCAACCGATGAAGATGGGAAAGCAGATTCATCCAGTTACAGTGGTGGAAGCTCTGGAGTTGAAAATGGCACTTATGACCAGAGCTCTGTCCAGATGGCTACCGAGACCCTGGAGGACATGTCCTTATCTTCTGCCTCATCGCTGGAAAGAGGTGACACCAGTGAAGAGATTCTAGATGATTGTGACTCTGCAGGAGATGTTTTTAGTGATGGAGACATTCCTACCAGCACTACTCAAACCGTCTTGCAGAGGTCTTCCAATGACAACACAGGCTGGGAGCCTGTAGATCTGACAGGTACAATGCAAACCAAGAAAATGATTTTGTTTTCTTTTTATTTGAGATTTGACATGGCGTATTGCCTACGTTTATTTGCTTTTTATAGAAAATAAAGAAGAAAGCCCGATGCAGAAATTGCAAGAATCTACGCAGGATTCGTTGGTGTTGTCTCCTGCGCAGAGTGACGCTCCTCAGGGTTCATCGGTGGAGCTGTCTCCCTCCAATAGCTCTGGTGGGACCTACATGTGGGATGAAGAGGGTCTCGAGCCTCTTGGGGAGCTCAAGTCTCCACTAGCAAGTTATGAGGATTTGGAGATCAACAGCATGGTGAGGCCCATAATTCCCATTGTATTGATTTTAATATTGTGTAGACTTTTTAAATCTTTAATAATTAATCTTGACTCTTATGTCATAAACGGACAAGAAAAGAAATTTATTTCCTTCTGCGTTCGCATTTCCTATCCTCAAGCAAAAAGAGATTCTGAGGACAAAATGTTTATTTTTTTAGAAAAGCTGTTTGTGGTGTACATGTGCCGACTAGAAGTCTTGATGTGATCAACTTTGCCTATTTGTATTAGAAACATCAACAGGGGATCGGCTTTTATGGCTTTTTCCAACATCTGTCTTCCTTTTTGACCGAACTCTGTTTTCATTAAACTTCACATGTGCGCTTCAAAAGAGGAAAAGACGAACGGTGTCTGAGAATGCCCAAGCAAAAAATGTTTGGGGAGAATCGGAGTCCTTGCAGTGCTTTAGAGCATATGTGGTCTGCTATTTAATTAATGTCAGCTTATTAACACCTACTTGTACTGGTACATGTTAAGACAGGACAAAGTACTTTCAGTGACAATATATATTGTTTACAGTATGTTTTTTTTTTTTTTGTTTGTTTTTTTCCACCAAATAGCACAATAAATAACATTAAAATAATGAAGTTTGTTTATAAAAAAAATATTTTGGTTAAAACATGTTTGATGGTCATTCAATGAAGTTACTAGAGGTGGGTAGAATAGCCAGAAATTGTAAAAAAAAAAAAAAAAAAAAAAAAAAAAAAAAAAATATAAAAAAAATAAAAAA